TGGAATAATTTGGAAAAAGATAGCAAGAATAGCTGCACAACTTGAAGAATATAATCAATGTCACTGAATTATTCATGTAGAAATTGTTTAATTGGCATGTATTTTGTTGTGTATATTTTCACCACAATTAAAAAAAAAAAAAAAAGCCCCATGGAGCACAGTTCTACTCTGACACACACGAGGTCCCCATGAGTCAGAGTCAACTCAGTGGCCACTGGTTTTTTTTGTGGCCTGGCTTGAAACGACACCACCAAAGGCCAAATATCACAACTCTCTCCCAGGGTTTTCTCTTTTCATTTCAAGTAAAACAAACCCTTTAAAGATATGGATAAGCAAAAAGATTGAGATCAAAATCTTCCCAAATTCCACCACCCAGAGACAATCACTATTAACATTTTTCCATACATCCTTCCAGATGCAAATACAAATTGATAAATATATTTTACAAAAATAGCACGCTGCTTGGTAAGCTGCTTTTTAAAAATACATTGCGTTCTTCCGTGTTAATAAATATACGTGTACATCCTCACATTTTTTGTAGCCACATGGTATTTCAGTGTATAAAAAAACCAAACCAAACCCACTGTCACAGAGTCAATTCTGACTCATAGCAACCCCATGTGTAACAGAGGAAAACTGCTATAATCTGGCTATAATCTTTATGGAAGTGGAGTGCCAGGCCTTTCTTCCTCAGTGCCACTAGGAGGTTTAAACCACCAACATTTAGGTTAGTAGCTGAGAGAACCTTATTATAGGTATACCATAAGGAACCAATTCACTACTGTTGGGCATTTAGACTGTTGTCATTTTTTTTTTTGTTATTATACATACTGCTGCAAGGGATATCTCCGTACACATATTTTTCTACACATGTCCAATTATCTCCTTAGGATAAGATTATTGTGGGTGGAATTGCTGAGTCAGGGATTCCCTTGGGAGGAATTTCAACACAACATTACGAGTAAAGCTGCACCATCGATCTTGATTTCTTTCTCCACATGGACCTTTCTTGGATTCCAGTTGGTATCTATGACATTGCATAATGGTCCAGAAAGATAGGGGCGGTCCTCTCATAAGAAACCAGTGCTTCTCTCCCCTCCAAGCCTCCTCTAGGAACAAACCATGCCCACGCCATGCAGTCGAACAGTGGTATACAAGGAGGCAGAACTAAACTGGGTCAATGTCTACCGAATTCCCTTGTGCCAGCAAAACTCTAGGATGAGCCAGTGCTGGGTGTCTCCTGGTGATCACCACAAGTATGGACACATGAAAGATTTTCTTTTGTTAAAGGTTCTGTTCTGTGCATGGACAGAAGGAAGACTCCAGGGATCCTTCCTAAAAGACCAAGGATGTTAGAGCTAGAAAAGATCTGTGGAGTCATCTGATCCCTTGCCTTGGAGATGGGGATACTGAGGCCCAGGAAGACTCATAGCATAAATATTTCAATAATTACTGAATGGACCCCAGAAGTGCCTCATCCACAGTGATTCAGCCAGTTCAGGACAAAGCCTGAACCTACTCAAGTCTTGGACACCTAGTACAATACTTATCCTCCCCTCCCCCATGCACAAAATTGTAATCTGAGATCATTCGGATCACATCCTAGCTCAGTCATGGCCAGATGAGTGCTGGAGCCGGCTCCTGCTGGATCTCAAGGGCCAATGGTATGCATCTCTTCCCAACTCCGTGTTCAGTGATGACATGTTGGAAACTTAAAATCAGCCACGGTGGGAATATTTACACCACAGGAATTGGCATATATAGCATATATGGCAGGGCTTTCCCCCTGGAGAGCCAGCTGTTAACCATTTACCAGCACATCACTGGTCACAACCTAGGTGTGAAAGGCACATGTAGGTGGCCTCAGTTTCCTCACCTATAGGACACCAGAGGACAGCCTCTCTCTCCAAAGTGTTATAATTCTCCATGTTCTATGCTAAATACACACTCCCAAATCCATCATCCCTCTTCTACGTTAATCAATGAGCTAGCTAATGTTTCCCCAAGTGCTTGCTGTGTGCCAGGCCCGCACCCAAACACATATGTTAGCTCATTTGATCTTCACAATATCACTGTGAGATAGTTATTACAATTTCCACCATACCGTTGGGGAAACCAAGGCTCAGAAAGTTTAAATGGCTTACCTGTCTTAGGTTGGCATCCCCCAGAAGTAGACCCTGAGACAAGAGTCCAGTACAAGTGGGAATACCGGGAGGGGAGGAGAGGAGACGTGGAAAGGGAAGGCAGTCAACGAAGGGTGCAAGTTACTACTCTGAGAAACTGGGTCTCAGTCCTGCTAGAGAATTCTGAGAGACAGCTTAGGACACGCCCCAAAGTTATCCCAACAGAGACATGAGGGAGCTGGGGTATTTATACACCAATTCCATGAGGCCAAGGGAACACGGAAAGGATGTCTACAGAATCTATTCCAAAACCCAAACTCACTGCTGTCGAGTTGATTCCAACTCATGGCGACCCTATAGGACAAAGTAGAACTGCTCCAAAGGGTTTCCAAGGCTGTAATCTTTATAGAAGCAGACTGCCACATCTTTCTCCCATGGAGCAGCTAGTGGGTTCGAGCCATCAACCTTTCAGTTAGCAGCCGAGTCCTTAACCACTGAGCAACCAGGGCTATTACACTGCCCGGTAACATACAGCTAGAAAATGGTAAAATGCAATTCAAACTCCAAAGCCAATACTCTTTTCGTTACACTTACAGAAATGAGCAGTTAATCAAACAATTACTTAACTGAGTGCCAACTCTAGGTAAAGTGTCATGCTGGTGAAATGAGCTTTTTGCCAAATCACTTTGCACTGACGTGACCAAAGAAAGCACAATCTTCTTGCCAATTTTTATCAACAGAAGGAACAAGAAAAGCTCTTCTGCATAGCTTTGCCCATCACACAGGAATTAGGCAAATGCCCTTCCCAGCCCCCTTGCTGTGTGAGAGATCTCTCTCTCTGGTTCAGCCCCTGCTGCCTTGGGCAGGAGTTCCACAGCCCCAAGCTCTCTTCCCAAACTGCTGCACCAACCTGGGATTACAGGCTCCAGAGGCTCCCATCCCAGGAATGGTCAAAAAATACCCACTGGCCTTCCAGCTAGCTGAGTCTGGAGGATGTCCCTGTTTACAGAGCCCTACTTCCTCTATGCCTCTGACCCCCACCCCCGACCTCAAACAGCCACGTCCTCCAGGGGAACCCAAAAGCGGGCCAAATAAACCCAGCAATCACGGGGCTGTGGGAGCTCACCCTACCTAAGTACTTACTTTTAATTCTTATGGGGAGGCAAAGAGGTGTTTAAAGAGGACAGAGTGTCATTGGGGTAAAGAGCTGAACTGTGTTGTGAACAGTGGTGGGAGCAGCGGGGAGGTGGCAGGAGGGCCTGCTGCCCTAGTTTACAGGCCCAGCTACAGCTCTCTGGACAGCTTAGGCTTGAAGACGGAGACTGGACAGCTTGTTCCATCCCAAGCACATTGCTGAGATCTGCCCCGTTTCTCACTCTAGGGGAGAGGAGAAGAAACACGGCAAGTCCTGAACTGCTCTTGGGATCACCAATCCGTCTTCCAGCCTCTCCACGGGAGTCTGGCAACCTTCCATACACCCCCTCTCCTAGCCAGCAAGGACACTTCCTGCCAGAGTATCCTAGAGAGGTCAGAAAGCGATAATCAGGCCAAGGTCCTTTCGTGACGTGGTGACCAGACCACTTTCTGGCAAGCCCTACAGTCCAGCCCAGAGGCAGCAGTAGTGCCAAGAAACTCAGCTGGCCATTCATACACAGCTCACACACACAAAGCAGACACAATATCTCGCTCCAGGGCACCAGGAAATAGACCAAGATATCAAAGCAAAACTAGTGGGCAACTTCCAAGGTAGGCCAGGGCATCTGAGAGTGGTGAGGAGAGCTGAGGGACTGAAAGCAAGGTATAGGATCATCGACCACCCTCAACTGACTCCTAATATAACTGGGGAGACAGCCTGGACCTCCAAACAAACCACGCAGAGATGCAGAGAGGTGGGCTACCGAGTCCCACGGACAGACTAGAACCACCCTCAGGAAGGTGCAGATGATGCCAGCTGGAGATACAGGAGGGGCAGGTACGGCACATGCCCCAGCCCACCCAGTAGGATGCAAAGGCATGCCCCCACCTTTCCTTGGAGGAGGGCCCAAGTGAGGGCTCAGATCCCCTGGCCTCCTCTCACCCAGTCTCCTCAAAGCTGTCCCTCATCATTCTAACCAGCTTTCACCAGGTTAAAAATGAGGGTAGAAGAGCACTTGTGGTATGTCTAGGCTGCACCCCTAAGGATTATTCTGTGTCCCTCAATACTTCACCTCTGCACTCCCATCTGATGAAGGAGAAACAACATTCGCCTTCGCACAGAGAATCCCAAACTGGACCAGCCACCACTCTGAGGTACCCAGGCAGGCTCTGTGCTGTGCCTCATCTTCTTCTCCCAGGGCAAGAACTATCCCCCTTTCCAAAACTACCCACCCCTGTGAACCCAGCCATCTCTTCAGGCCCTCTTCTACCCACCCAGGGCAGCCCCCTTGGCCTGCCACAGCTCCCTGGCATAAGCTGACCTAGGGCCCACACTCATGCCCCCCACTCCAGGGTCTAACCCCAAATGGGTGTCTCCCAGGCTGACTCCACACTTAGTCCTTGGGACACTGCATTTGATGACAAGTTTGTTAAAAAAAAAAAAATTAACTCTCTTAAACCATGTATCTTAGCCATGAGAGATTTCATTAATTTTTTAACCACCAGCAGAAGAGTTCCCAGTAGGTAAATGCAAATTGTTAAGTAAAATAGTAAATCCAACCTCAGATTCCTCATGCTGGTGCTCCTGAAAGAAGAACCCTGGCTCTGTCTCCGGCTGTTTAAAAGAGCCAAGGTTTCTAACTGTTTCCTGCCATTTCACCAAGATCAACTGTGGCAAGAACTCCAGGATGGACTGTCAGTTCATTCGTTCATACATTCACTCGTCACATGTAAGGAACTTACTGTAAGTCTGGCCAGGTGTAGACACGCCTCTGCCCTTGGGGAGCACACTTGAAGGACCCGGATTCCGGACACCTGGGAATAAAGTGCTTGAGAAGCCTTGCTCGGCACCTCCCGTCACCGAGGCGCAGAGGTGCTGTGGACAACCCAGGGACCCACGGAGCGCCGCAGGGGTGGAAGAGGACCTTCGGCCTCCCTGTCCCGTCACCCGCCTCTCTGTTGTTCCCGGGGCTCTCTTGGCTGAGGAGCTGAGTGCAAATTGGCGCTCGAAACGGAGATCACAAGCGGCCGGGAGCCTCCAAGGCACCTGCCTTGTTCCAGGCGCCCAGCCGGGCCGAGAGATGAGCAAAGCTGAGGTCCCACCGACCTCTGGCCCCAGTTCCGGTTGCGGGACCCGAGACCTCAAAGGGGAAGTGGCGCGAGGGCGAAGGCAGAGGTAGTCGTGGGCGCGCCGCCTCCCCGCGCCGGGGGGTGGACCCCGCCTCTGGGGAACCGTCCGACCAGCGGGGGGTAGATTGAGGTTGGGCACTCCCCAGGGCGGTCGGGCCTGCCCATCCTTGCACCTGCTGCCGGCCCCACCTCGCCGGGGAGTCCCAGAGACCCCGGGGATGGGATTGGGGCGCCTTCCTGCCGCTGCCCTTGGCGCGGAGAGAAGGAAGGACCCCCCCGGGGACTGGGGAGGAGGACCAGCTTGGAGCTGCAACTTTCTGCGGCCAGAAGACAGGCGGCCCGGGGCTCCGCGGCCCCGCGGCCCCGCGACCCCTGGGAACCCCCCGCGGCTGGAGGAGGAGGGAGGTGACTAGGGGCAGGAGAGGATTGAGGGGCTGGCCCGGACGCGACAGGGGCCACCGCGGGAAAACTTTCGGCTGGGGCAGGGGGAGCGGAGGAGAGGACCGCCCCGTGCCCGGCACCTTGCGCCCCGCGTCCAGCCCCTCGTCGCTCGCGCCCCGCGCGGCGCCTGCCTGCGTCCCGCACCGGCTGCATCGCGCTCGCCGCGGGGACCGTGGAATTGGAAAGTGGGGGCGCCGCGCTGAGGGCGGCTCCAGCCCGCTCCGGGGTCAGCGCTCTGTGGGCCTGACTCTAACCCGGGCCAGGCGGGCGGGAGGAGGCCGCTTGATTGGGGGTCGGGCGCCCCGCCCCTCCTCACCCTCTCTCCCGCCAGTCTGCCTTTATCTGCCCCTACCGGCTCCGGCCGTCTCGTCTCCACTCCGCTTTCTATCGCTCTCCATCTCTCCCCACCCCTCTCTTCTCGCCTTTCTTCCTCCTCTCCTGCCCACCCTCCCCTCCCTGGAGGGGCGGAGCTTTTCCCCTCCCTCCCAGACAATGCTGTGGCTGCGCGGCCCCTTCCCCGCCCGCGAGTCGGGGCTAGGGCTGCGAGTGCCTCTTCCGGGCTAGGGGGAGGGGGAGGAGTGCAGGAGTTGGGAGGATGAGCTGGCTTCCCTCACCGCATTCACCGCGGCCCTCCCCGGGCTGGATGGTGTCTTGGCCCAAGCCCCCCGGCTCGCCCCGCGCTGTGGCAGCCACTCCCTGGCGGCAGCCACGCTGCCTGGCGGAGCCCACCTCGAGCGCCTCTTATTCTCCAGGCAGAAGATGTGGGATTTTTTTCTAACACCCAGGCTCTTTACAAAAAGCGTTTGAGCTGGGCAGGGACTAAGTAGGCCCCTGCGACTTGGCGGGCTGGCAGACGTGACAGCAATGTGAAGAAGGCCAAGTTTCTTTGTCCACCTCTCACCTCCCCCTCTTCTCCATGCCTGGACCCCCAGCGGCTCTCAGTGCAAAGGAAGCCCCCGAGCACCTGCGGCCCCGTCTGTCCCCTTCCTCTTATCAGAATTCTCCCTCACACACCATACCTCCTGCCATGCGGAGTCCTCCCCACGCCAGTCGAAGGGGCAAGGGGACCCAAAGGTTAATGAAGGGTGGCCAACCCAGGGGTACATCTGGAGCAGCTCATCCCACCTAGAGCCAAACATTCTTTACTAAATTCATTGTTTGGATTTTGGAATGTGTCTCCCTTAGAAACAATGTTATAAATGGTAATCTTCTCAGGCCAGCCACCAAAGTCCGTTGAACCCAAAAAGCAGCTGTGCGGTGGTGCTGAGAACTATGTCAGCTACTCAAACAAGGAGGCCACTGATCAGCCCTTTTTACAGGGGAAAAAAATTATCTTCTTGCTCGTTCCCCTTGAGCTATAAACAGATGCAAATTTCTCCCATTAATTGCCCCCCCCCCACCAACCCACTATTCTGTAATAGTTAAGCTTCTTTCCCTTGGCAGGTAACGGGAGGCCCCTCAGGGGGATATATTCTGAAGACACTGGGGTTTCTCAATAACCATGGGGTTGGAACTGCAGGAAGAACTCAGTAATAAGCAAAACCAGAGCCTGGAGGGCTTCCAGTAATCCAGGAAGTCTGGCCTTCCCTGCACCCAGACACTTGACAACAAGTGGTCATCACTTCCGTCACTGGGGCTGGAAGCTCCGCTGTTCAAGAAAGCATTCAGGTTCAGAAATCATATATCCGACAAGATTCTAATAACCAATATATTAAAAAAAGTCAACAACAAGAAGACAA